ACATTATTTTTCTCTGTACTACTGAAATAATCAATTACATACTTATCTTAATCTATTAAGTGCAAAAAGTGTCATTATTTTAAATTTTGATTGATCTTTTGAAGATGTGATTATCCAATTAAAAAAGAGGTTGTCTAAAGACTTTATCTAAAAAAATTAATAGTTTTGAGATATAACTTTATTTATCTAAAAAAATTAATTTTGAACCCTTATGTACAGTTAGGCATCAAAAAATAAAGTTACCAGAGCCTAATGTACAGCTAATAATTGAAAAAAAATAATAACAAAATGTTTTAGATAAAAAAAAATTAATTGAACGCAAATAATAATAAAAACAAAAATGTATATACAGAAAGAAGAAAGTTACTTTAACTAAGACAAGAAAAATCCAGATCTGAGATTCCCCATACACCCAATGGCACATCACTCCCCTCTTTCACCCTCGGTAGGTGGCCGTTGGATTACTAAGACCCTTCCACTCTCTCTCACCCATACCAACTGGGTCCATAATAATTTCTGACTAAAAGATTTGAAAATATATTTTTTTTTATTTTTTTTAGCGAATTTGAAGATAAATGATAATCAATTTGAAAATAAAATTGATGAGAATTAGTATAGAATTATATTGACGTGACAAATTAAAAAAAATTATTTTCAAATTTACTCTCATTTACCTCCAAATTCACTAAAAAAAGACAAAAAAAAATTATCTTTAAATCCTCTCAAATCCCCTCAATTCCACTCCCTCATCAAATCCACTAAAAAAAACAAGTCCTAATAAATCTCCTCTATCGAACCCAAAACAAAACAGGAACCTTGCAAACCCTAATGATTATTGTTTCAATGAGACAGAAAACTTCCCATACGATCACCATGTCAACAATGCCGCTTGTTCAATGAACAAAGAACTCTCCACTATCATGTTAACATTAGTCCCTATCTCCCCTATCACCACACCATCTTTGACACTAAAATGATCACTGTAACCTTATGTATCCCAAAAATCAAAACGCAACCCTAAAAAGAAGAAGAGAAGACATGGATAAAGAGATGCTACCTTGTTCCTAGTTGATCTTTTGGAGAGCCGAAGAGCATGGAGAAGAGAGCTAGAAATTTTTTAAGCTTTTTTGTAGACAGATGTTCCCGTTTAGTAGGTTTCTTTTTATAGTTCTTTTATTTTCTTTATCTTTTTTATGTTAAAAGACAGATCTTTTGAAAATTTTCTAACTAATATTAAAACAAAATAAAAAATAATATTATTTTTTTTATAAGAAAATAATTACTGTAGATATCAATTAAAAAATCATTTGAAAAAAGAAAAAAAAAACTAATTTACATTCATAAAATAACAGTGTACCAGTCTAGAATATTATGACTAATGTCAAACAATAAATATTAATACTATATGACAACACCAAAATTATTTTAAAAATGAAAATAATAATTTCTGTTAATATTAATAAAGAATTCTAACTGTCGGTTAAAAAAATTCCAAACAACATTAATTGAAAAATAGCTTCAATCTACGTTGGTGAAAAATAATTTTAATTACTAAAAAATAGTACAACCAACGTCTAACGTATATAATCTCAAGTAATAAGAATTTTAAAAGAATGTGTTTGGCTTCAGTCAAAAAAATATAATAAATGTAGAAAAAAAATCTTATTAGTATCAGTTAGAAAATAATTTTAGTCTAATATTAAAAGTAAAAAATAACCTTAATAATATAAGTTGAAAAATAAATACAAATAACTTTTACATGAGATTATGCTGAAATAAATGTTTAACTAATAATGTCTTAATCTTGGTTAAATTGTCAACGTCAAGACTAAAATTGAGTTGAAAAAGAATATAAATAAAAGAAATATATTTTTTAACTTCTTACTTTTTAGGGAAAATTTTAAATTTTACAATTTTAAATAATTTATTATTCTTATGAAAAATTAAAAATATTTTTTTTGTCAAATTTTCTATAAAAAGAAATTATTCTGTTCAAATTATAAAACGGTCCGTATTTGATGGAAATAGAATGAATACTTTACTGATTTTGAAAGAGTTGTCTTTAGTGAAAAATAAAAAGAACGGAATATTGAGTAGTACGTTAGAGCCACTGAGAACATATTCTATTCAACTTAAGCAGAGTTTGACAATAATTGGGTTCGCTTGTTTTTCTTTCAAGTCAAAAAGGGTAAAACAGAAACAAATATCCCACATTATTATAATCAAACCAATTAACACAACATTGTATATAAATTCTTTTGCACAATTTTTGTATAGTTTTTCTAAACTTTTATTTTTAATTGATTTACATAAAGTAATATTTACTACTAAAAAAATTATTTATAATTTTTAAATTTTTAAGAAAAAAGATTGAAAATTCAAGTATAAATCTAAAAATCACATAAAAACACTATAAATTTATTATCTTAAATTAAAATTTTAAATAGAGTGACCTGGATTTCTTATATAATTAAAGTCAGATTTATTTACTGTCTTTCTTCATAAAACTTCACCTTTTATACATCTAACAGAAAGTTTGCTCAGATGTTCTATAATTTGAAAAAAATAAATAATCTACAATAAAGTCTCATGCTGTGTTTCTTGTTTTAGAAAAATTCAACGGGCGAATATTACAGCAATGAATGTGATTCTTTTTATCTCTTTTCAATGGTGTTATGCAAGAGTTTTCAATTTGGAAACAGATGTTCTAAGTTCATGAACTAGTGGAGCTTCTAATTCACATATTATACATTTACCAAGTTAAATACAATGTCATTTAATTTTATTTACTTAAATATCTTTGGATCAAACATAATTATTAGCTTAAAAAATGTATAAGATGCGAAATTAAATATGTATTAAATAATAAAAGGAGTATTATAAGTCATTTAATATTATGACCAACTAGTTGAGTGACTTCTTTACAAATAATTGATTTATATAAATATAATAGTCGAAAATTTGATCATATGGTTAACCTAAAAATCTCACAAAACTGATTAAATTGAGTTAAGAACATAATTGTCTGAATTAAACATATTTAAATATATATTTTAAACATATTCTTAGAGAAGTCAAAGAAGTCTAGAAAAAAGTAGTTTCTAGATAGATTCTGTGTTTTAAAATAATGAAACTTATTTATAACAAACATATTTATATTAAAAACTTTTAATATTAAAATACTCAAATATAAGTATTTTTAAACTATTATTACTTCTAAAATTCATTTTCTAAATATTTACAATAATTTTTATATGATTAAAATTATTTGATACGATGGGTGAAAACCTCACATAATTAAAGTTAAGAAAAATTGTCTAAATTGAACTTAATTATCTTTTATCTGATTTATCTAATTTTAATTTTTTTATCAATAATAACTAATAATAAATTAAAGAATGAAACTCTTAAGAATTTGAATCTCGATTTCCATTTCCCAACATTAATATTAAAAACAATTATTCTAGTATAACAATACATCTTATAATATTTTCAAACTCCAAACATTACAAAATACCATTTGAACTTACATTGTTCTTATGAAGTTCTCCACAAACTTATTTTAAATTTTAACAAAAAATATATCTTTAGAATCTTCAATATGTTCCAAGAAGATATGAATTTTCTTTGAAGATCCAAATGTGTTTGTCTAAGTTGATAGATTCATCATACTTATTAAACATAAACATTGTCTAATTGTCAATAAAATGGGTCTTCATGATCCTCGTAATGAACAAGAACATATCACTCATGTCAACTATCACAGCAAATTAGTTATGATCTTTACTTACTCTAAAATTGTTTGTTTGGACGATTGAGTATGATTCATCTCGGTGTTGCTTTACTAGTCCTTGAAGAGTAGGACTAGATCACATGAGATATTTACCAACCTTTTTTTGACGTATGATTGCATTCTTAGCTCGCAACGCCTTTATTTCTTCCTTATATACTTCTTTTGCATTTCCTTCATATACCTCTGCATCATTTCCCTCAAATCCAACTGATCATCCAAAGTTTCCTCTAACACAACGTTACTTGCCATGTTTTTGGTGGTTACCATATAGGTTTCAAAAGTTTTCGCTCAATCCTACGGTGAACATTAAAATGTTTAGGATTTAAGGTCGAATGTCCACTTAGAACAATTTCCTTGTAATGTGCTCCAATGTGATCTTCTCCGAGTTAAAGTAATTTTACCAGCCAATTTAGAGAATACCTATCAGATCTAATTACAACTCAATTTTCTTTAAAATTGATTAGTAACCTATGTAGACTAATTAATTATTTAGCTTATCCTAATCATGATCTATCAATTTTCAACACACGGTCAATTATATTATTTCAATCGATGAGTTTCCAACAAACAATCGATTATATTATTTCAATCGGTATTCACCAAATGCACTTCTATCAAATTTCAAATATATATTAAAGGCTTGCACACTTTTAGCGAGAATCCTTATATTTATCTACTAAATACAATTTGATAGATTTAGTATATTTTTAACATAGTATACTTTATGATTTTTTAAATAGTATAATATGTACAAAACATTAATGAATAGGATAGTGTGAATGAAAAATCAGAAGTCAAGCAATTAATGTGTTAGAAAATTCCAAATTGTTAATTCATATAAAGCTTATATGAGAAATATACCAGTATTTTCCACCTTTTAACTTCTCGCTCATTTATTCTCTTTTTGAAGAATAAAGTTAGCCTTTTACGTTTTTTTACCAAATTTAACCAATTAGAATATATTCTTGTTTAGTCAAAAGTTTGGAAGGCTACCCTAGGCTAGAAGAGAATTCTTCTTTTATTCCTAATAATAGGAGCATAACAACTTAAAAAATGAGATTAAGATAATTTAAATATATATTTTTTAAATAATTTGAAAAAGTGATCTTTTTTAAAATAAAACTATAATGAAACTCCCAACTTTAAAACCATCAACACTTTTAATTTCAATAATTAACCCTAACAATAATCACGTATCTATTAGGAATAGGAATCGGATTAAAAGTGTTTTTTTTAAAAAAACACATAAATTTATGTTGAACTTGTCCTCACATTAACCTCTCGTTGCTATAAAAGGAATGGTTAACTTCAGAATGACCCATCTCTTCTTTTGTTCTTCTTTACAAGTAAAAGTTCGCTTTTCCCTGTGTTCTTCTAACCTTCACGAATCTTGATTTCTCTCTTTTATTTGCCATTCATTTTCTGAGAAAATCAGGGTATGTCCTGATCTTAGCAGAAGGTGAAATCTCTGAAGTTACTAATATCAGGTTTGACATCTTCATGCAGATGGAGTTTCATCTTCTTTTACCTTCAAACTATACTTGCATGTGAAGAACTGAAACCCCAGGAAATTATTTGCATGAAAAAACATTTTCAAAATCTATGGAACTTCCAGATTGTGTATATCCTAGGCCATCAGTTACCATATTCCCATGTGCTCCAACACCAAAGCATTCTCTCCATCTATCCAATCTCGACAGCCAAAAGTTCTTCAGATTCTCCGTTAAGTATGTGCACCTCTTCGAGAAATGTGTGAGCGTGGATGTGTTGAAGTCTTCTCTGTCAAGAGTTTTGGTGGATTACTACCCCTTAGCTGGGAGATTGAGGAGGAGCAGCATTTGTGAGGATGATCACAAGCTTGAGGTGGATTGCAATGGAGAAGGTGTTGCGTTTGCTGAGGCTTTCATGGATGCCACTGCTCAACAATTACTTCAACCTTGCAACCTGCCAAACACTTCATGGAAGAAGCTCCTTTGCAGAGTCGAAGCTCAAAGTTTCTTAGATCTTCCTCCTCTTATAATCCAGGTTTGAATATATTGATTTTTACGTCACATAAGAGATATTCCATCACAGCCTATTATTAAACTTATTTCTAATAATATTTTTTATGATTTTATATTTTAACATATTTTTAATTAATTGATACCTATTAAACTTTAAGGTGACAAGTCTCCGATGCGGAGGGATGATACTGTGCACGGCGATCAACCACTGTCTTTGCGACGGCACCGGCGCGTCCCAATTCCTACACGATTGGGCTCGTCTCGCTAGAGATCCCAACACTGAATTACCAGTCACACCCTTCCACGGGCGACACGTGTTGAATCCTCGAGACCCTCCCCAGGTGCACTTCACCCACGCGGGATACACCAGAACAAACCCTGCGTCTCATCAAGTGGACCTGCACGATTGGATGGTGCACTCGCAGCCGCTGGTCGTCACGTCATTCACATTCGGAACCTCCGAGGTTCTTCTGTTGAAGAAACAGTGTTTGTCGTGGCCGAAGCCCATCACCACCTTCGAAAGCGTGGCGGCACACACGTGGCGTGCGTGGGTTAAATCAATGAATCTCTCCCCCACGATAACAGTTAAACTCATTTTCACCGTTAACGTTAGGAAAAAGGTTAACCTCCCAGAAGGGTATTATGGGAACGGGTTTGTTCTGGCATGCGCAGAGAGCACAGTGAGAGGTTTAACAGCAGTTGAAAATGATGATGGCGATGATATCAGTCACAGTTTGAAAGCGTTGCAAGAAGCTAAGGCTATTTTAGAGGAGAAAGGGTATATAAGGTCGATGGTTGATTTGTTGGAGGACAAAACGGTGCGTGTTGATCTTTCGACGAGTTTGGTTATATCGCAATGGTCAAGGCTAGGGTTGGAGGACGTGGATTTCGGATTAGGAAAACCCTTGTTTATGGGTCCTTTATCAAGCTATGTTCATTGTTTGTTTTTACCGGTGGTTGGAGATTCTAATGCAGTCAGAGTGCTCGTGTCTGTTCCTGAAAGTGTTGTGGAAAGTTTTCGTTACCACATGCTCGTGAAAGACGGTTGGAAAAAACAAGAGAATGATGGTTAGAGGCCAAAATCAAAAGATTCAAAACTAGAGTGCATCAAATAATTCCAATCATGTATTGCATGCTACATTTTATATATAGAAAATTGTGCACTATGATAGTTTGAAAATTCAACAAACATTTTTTCTTTCACGCATTATGATAAAATACACTTGCCAATTTTGTGCTTCAATGAGTTGATGCTATGTATATTTATTAGTAGGAAACGATCCATATAGACTAGAACATTGAAAGCAAGATCATGTTCTTAAATATAAAGAACTGTACCTCGTACCAGACAATGTGAGATTTTGGGCAGGATCATGTGGTGTGAAGGTGATTTTGAGTGATATGGTTGTCGTGAAAAAGATGTTTCAATAAACAAAGAATAAAGATAGGTGGTGTTGTGATGAATTGATCACGTTGAATGGTGGTGGAGTGAAAAACATATGCACAATATAACGTTGAAATGTTGTTAATTGTAAGGCATACTAAGAGTGAAGAAATATGCATACATATGAAGGCGACACCAAGCAAACACAAGGCATCCGAATCATTCACTCAAATTTCTTTGATTTGATTTCACCATATATTTCTATAACAAATCTTTATTCAATACTATAACTTCAGTCTATATATTCTTCCCCTTAAAAAAAAGTTAAATAATATTTTTTTAAGTTTCTAATTTTATCATAAATTAAAATTCATCTTTATTTCAAACTTTAATATATAATTTTATTTTTAAAACTTTAAAATTTATACGGTAGAGTGATTCAAAGACATATTTGAATTAATATAACCTGTAAAGAACATGCTATAAAGCAATAACATATTGTGGGATTATGATGGAAAAGAGATGTTTTGTACAATAGATTTGGAATAAAAAAATACACGTTTGTCATATTATACACTAATAGTTTGAATATTTACATAAATTTAACCGTTATGAAATATTATGGTGCAATTTGAAAAATATTAATCAAGAAAATGAAATAGAAAATCTCTTCCAAAAATTTCATAATATTATTCAAGGTCTATATAATTGTTATTAATAAATATGATATAAAAAAAATTATACATATAACACGTAAATGGAAGAAAAAATAAGTTTGAACAACCTAACTTTGTTAGTTATTAATTTATAAAAAATATAAGAGAGTAACTTTAATATAATATTTCTTTATAATCATATAATTTCTATTCATAAAACTAAAACACTGACACTTTGCTTAAATAAATTTAAGTTTCACTCATCAGTTATAACAATTTTGGAATAATTAAAAACTTAGGATCCATTAAAAGAAAAAAAAATCAAATACAAATTGCATTAGAAACACACAAAAATCTATTAATTATATAAAGTGATTTAGAAACTAGTTTAAAAATTGAAAAATTGTTTATTATTATGTTAATATCATTATTGAATATCTTTCCAAATAGTCGATGGACTCAAATCCCAAACTAATATAACTAAAGTTTTAGCTATTTTTATTTTAAATTTTAATGCAGTCTTTAATTATTTAAATTTGGGGATATTAATTCTGTATTTATAAAAAATCAGAAAGTATTAAATACAAAATATATAATCATTTTATTTATTATTAAGTTGTTATGTTTATAAAAGGTTATATAAAGAGTTAACTTATTTGAGTAAAACTAGAGGTGTTTCAATCCAATCAAACAAATTGAAATTGGTAAAAGTTTTAAAAAAGTGAAAACTTATCAAATGGTTGATATATATATATATATATATATATATATATGTTCCGTTACTATAATAAAGGGGTGCTGAAAGAAAAATCTTCATTGGACTTTATTATTTTTTCACTTTTGATATTTGTTTAACTAAATATGTTTTTATAAAATAATAATCATAATCAAACCATGTTTATATTTCAAGGTAGATAATGTGTTTTATTTGTAAAAATATGAAAAATGACATTTTAAGAATAACATCGCATTTAAAAACAGTGAGACTCGATTTTTTAATATTAAAATAATTTAGTATAAATAATTTTGTTATGAATGAGTTTCATTATTTTAAAATAATTATTTCTCTATCAATCACTATTTTAGAGTTATCTAACTTCTCTTTAGGGGTTTCTTTCTCTGCTTGTTTGAAGATCGGAGATCGCAAGGGTGATCCTTGAGTCAAGCTTGCAACTTTTGTTCGATCAGTTTCTCAAATAGAGTAAGTTGATTTTCTATTCTTTCTTTTGTTCTGTTTTGTTTTCCCTTGTATGTGAACTATATAGGGTTGCATGTGATGTTTGAGTCATATTTAATAGTTTCTATTTATTAGTAGTCTTGATGGTATTTTTGTTGTTCGTATAAGGATATTGAGTTTCTTGTGCTTTTGGAGCTATTGTAGAATTTCTAAAGTTGTTTGGTCATCCTCAAAGTAAGGAAAGCTAATTGCAATATTTCGAAGTTATTGATAATTTAAGATGTGTATATGCTTGTTGAATGGTATGATATAGCTTGAATTGTTGAGTTTGTTATGTTGATTGTTGTATATTGAATTTCTTGTTTGAGTTGAATTGAATTGGAAATATAAGAAGTTGATCAATTGAGTGAATTAGTATGTGGCTTGACATTAAAAAATGTTTTTTAACCAAGTATTGAGAAACGAATGCCACATTGATCATTTGAATAGGTTTCATTTTCACAAATCATTGATTTTTTACACATGTTGATATTTGATATATCATTGAGCGGTGACAAGATAACATTGAGCGCCAATTCGTTGTGTAGGCCTGAGAGCATTTTAGCACCAGGCCACTAAGCATTAGTCTTGTAATGCTGAGTGTACATAAGTGTGAATGCTTCTGCGTTGAGTGGTGCGAGGCACCGTTGAGTGCCATGTTTCACTGTAAGTTTGAAGCATTTGGTTCCAAGATGTTGAGTAACAGGAAGTGTCATTGAGCGCGACTTTTGAGAGAAGAATGACATTGAGTGGTAAGACTATTGTTACCTTTTATGAAAGGTTTGGCACGTTGAACGTTACCTACGAAAAACCTAAATGTTGGGTGTCATTTCTAAGCACCAATGTACATGTTTTGGTTTTATTATTCCTTGGTTGCTTGATATATAATTTACAATGCACTTTATGTACGTTTATGAATACTATGGTGTTTTAGTGAATTGCGATATTGTTGTGAATATGAGTTTGTTATGGTATGAAAGAGATGATGAAACATTGATTTTTAGGGAGGAATCATGTGGAATGTGTGTTTCACTAGGATGTGTCTTGAGGTAAGGATAGTTTCATTATGTGTAACCATCTTGAATTCTACCAATTATTCATACTCATGTAAAAGAGGATGATTAGGTGGTGAGAGTGGTTGGAAGTACAAGGTTCTTATGACTGTGATAAAGACTAATCTTGTGTGTGTCAACTTGGTAGAATAACTTAATACAATATATCATCGCAAGTGCATGACTCCACTAGTTTAACTTAATATCATGTATCCAAATATTGAGTATAGTGTGAGTATTCAAATGTGGTATGATTATTTTGATGAATGATAATATATTTATGTTTGTTTTATGAAAACTTTTTTATATATTAATTTATCCGGTTGCTTCTTTTAGGTTTTTTTTATCTACATATTTTCTTTTATGATAATCACTTGAATGAGAGAATAATGATGTATATTAATAATGGAAAACAACCATTGAACAAAATAATTTCTCTAATTGTTTGATAATTTATAATGTACTTTTTTTTAATTTTACTTTATTAATCGTTTGAAATTTATATAACTTTACTTTTATGTTTTCAAACTTCATAAAATTATCTGATATATAAAATTTAAAATAAATTTAGATGAACTATATAATATCTTTCTTTCATGTATATGCAGATAAAGTTGATATTAATATATGGACCACCATGAAACAAAATTATAAGAGATTTGTTTTGAAATAAAAAGAAAATAAATTTTTGATAATAAAAAAAATATAAGATATTTTCATAGGCATGATAAGGATGTTGATCATAACACCTTATCCACATCATGCGACAAATGTTTGCACACGTGGTATCTCCAAACTCAAACTTTCCCGTCTACTACAGAAAAACCCGTAATTGCCCTTTCTGTTTGAAGCAGTAACTTTTTCATTTATTTCATAATAATGAATATTTATAATTATGTAAACTGAGAGCAAAAAGTCACTTTAAACTTAATTTATCATTATACCATATTTGTAAGATGAGAATTATCATAAAAACCAAGAGGTAATAAATATATAGGAATTAAACCTTAAATGTAAATGTAAGTCAATAAATTTATGACAACTATTAAGAAGAAAATGAATTTAAACCTAATTCTTTCTCATAATTAATTGAAAATTATCTATATATATATTAGTCTAATCTTTAATTAATAAAACCATCTTAACATCAATAATCCTTTTTTATATATAGATATAAAAATTTATAACCAAAATTTTACTTTAAATAAAACATTTACAAAAAAAACTCGATTAAAATATCTAAATTACATATCACATGATTATATATCCTACATCCTGTTGCTAAAAAAATGCTAATCTATAACAAATCCTTGAGTGCGATCGATTGTTTTTTCAAATAAATTTGAGTTGAAATATTAAATAAATTATATGATTTTTTTTTCTAAAAAAAATATTCATTCAAATTATCACACAGAAATTAATATTCTACCTTACAATTATATTTACTGAGATGGATAATTTAATGAATAGAACGTTCTAATCCACTGAGGTTAGTGTTTTCTTCATTGTAAAATTCCATTAGAGAGTATTTTACGGCAGAAAAAATAGAAAGTGAATAACCGAATAGAGGATACAAGAGTAATTTGGACCTTCACTCTCTCAATATATATACTTTCAGTTCTTTGCTTTCACATTTTTCTAAAAAGAATCTCTTATCTTCTTCGTTCCCTTCTTCCATTCCTCTTTATCTATCTAAACCTCGATTTCGTATTTCAATTCCGTTTTTTCATTTTTTTCGTAAACTCCTCACTACGATATTATCCAC